AGAAAAGCCAGTTTGATAATATGCTGTTAGTATATTAGAACACTCAACCTAAAAACACTGAAACATTTGGTCTAAAACCTAAAAATAAATTTTCTATTATTGTAGCCTTGAGTTATGTGGCAGTATTCCATGGGATAAAGGTATTCTTTTATACGATTAACTTCAAGTTTGTAACTAGCAAGTGTGTTGAATAGACTAAATTTGAAGCAACCAGTCTTAATTCGATCTATGAATGACCTCCCAGTAATTTGGGTTTAGGGTTTAGGTCGATCTTTATAGTTGAAGTATGCAAAGCAAAACACACCATGTTGGTTGGTTGATTGATTCATTGCTATTGTGAGCTGAATGTCTTGAACTTGACCTGGCACTTTTTCAAGAGAAATAATAAAATTGTATACTGTGGAGCAATATCGTTATTGTTGATTGTTCACTGACTTATTTCACCAAGAGAACTATTAGTATTTTTCCAAATTACCCGTGACCAAACGTTACCTCCTTATTACATCCAAATTACTCAGAGCCAAGAATTACCTCCAAATATCCAACTTTTCAGCAGTTTGTGTTTTATGTATGGTCAATTGTTTGTTTTGTTCTTGCTAAGCGTAAGCTTATTTTCTGTTGGAATGCAGATTCTACATCCGGATGCAAAGTGACAGGCTTCAAAAGATGCACTCTGTTAGCTGCTGATTCTGTGACTGCCCAACAATACACTGACTTGAGTTTCACAGCTACTATGCTGGCCTGCTGGGTACCTGATGAATTGTGCATCTGGAGGGAGTTGCATTGTACTCCAGTCTATAAGGTATATTCATGCCTTTCATCTCAACCATTTTTTTTCTCCTTCCTCCATTATCAGAAACCTCTATTTTGTGCTGCTATAAATTTTTTAAGTAATTGACTGGTTAAAAAGGAAAAACATTGGTGTTTGATAGGAATCGGATAATTTAAATGTGAAAGAAAATGACATGTGTATAGATTGCAACTCTCTTTAGACGGGGATAACATGAGAGAGAGCAAGGTACCCCAGCAGCAAGATGGTGATGCCCTGTTCAATAATCCAGTCACTCAGAATACTTAATTCGTTTTGATAGATATGCATATCTCGCGTGGTTGGCTTGACACTTTGAATTCTCCATTGCTTTACGACAAACAATAAAGCGTGCCTAATTCTTTTATTTTTTTCATCCAGTTTACTAGACTGTCTATCCCACCAGCGGAGCGTCCCGATCCGGTGCTCCTGTGGCTGGATCCCCATGCCTAACATTTTTTGATACAAGCTTCACTGAGACTGTCTATCCCACCAGCGGAGCGTCCAATATATTCTCAATTTTGCTGCTAACAAGGGTGGTTGCATAGTGAGAATGTTCAGTGCTGTTGGTTCTGAAGGTGGTACAGTAAGCTCACGAGTCTTTCCATCGTTCTCAAACTGATATTTTCAGGTACATGCTGCAAGAAAAATTAAAATACATTCTAGGAGCACTAATCATTTGAGGTAGTTGTGAAGATAAATTCCACTTGCTTTCCATAATGTTCTATTTTTTAGGTCTAGGAGAAACACGTTAACTGAATTTAAACTTAAAGGGTTGTCTGGTTGGTCCACTTTTTACTCATCTTTTGGTGTGGCATGTCCAGATGCCCTGCGCTTGACTTATCTTACATGCCTCTCTTATTGCTGCTCATTACATGGATATATCAAGATGCCTGTTTATGTCATGATTCGAGTTCTTTTTAGCCATACGATTAGCATGGATGCTATTAGGTTACCTTTTATGATGTGTTTGTAGTACCTGTGTTCTGAGCCATATGATTAGCATGGATGCTATTAGCATGGTGTCTATAACTATCAATTCTCTGCCTCTTACCTTAAGATTCTCAAACACTTTAAGGTATCCTGTCCATCCTGTTTAATCCCTTTAATATTATGTTGCACTTCATATTCTAACCATTTTTTTTGTTCTCAGCTTGGTTTCAAAACTATATATTATTGATGTCCTTATTCCTGTCACTTAGTTACCACGGTTTTACTTTCTCTATTATTGCAATGGATATAATGATTCATTTCTGCAGCTCAATGTGCTGTAGGCCTTGTGCAGATGAAACACCTGGGGGAGCAAAGGACTTTTCTATCTTCCTGGTTTGTTTAGGCTCCTGCACAAATGCCATCCCTCCCCTTTTGCCTCATTTCTTTTTTAATTGATCCCTACCCTTTGAGCAGTAAAGGATATTGGTTCATTGATTTACATTGGTGTCCTTTCAAGGAAAAAATATGTTGTTGCTGGAGCACCTTTTCGAATTTACCTGTCTCTCATATATGTTAGCCATATATAAGCTAGCCCTTGCTTATTACCTTGGTTGTATCGTGTGTTACTGAAGGTGCCTAATTCTTATATACGCCGTGATGATTTTCATCTCCTTGTCTTCAAACTGTCATGGCTGCAGATTCATATACATCATACATGTGAAACAACACTAATCCATTTGGTGATGCTTACAGCTTGTCTTTTCTGTTTGCAAAATTAAAGTGCGAGATCAGGGAAGACATCTTGACGTCCATGATGATGATTTCTGTGTTATGTGTGAGACTAGGGCAGAGGAAACTATTGAGCACTTATTTTTCACCTGCCCCTTTGCAAACCAGTGTTGGGCTTCACTTAACTTTGTTTGGGATCATTCACTAAACCTCCAGGATTGATTCAAGCCAGGCAGGCGCATGGACACAGTTTCTTCACTGAAGCTTCGATGATAGCTGCATGGGAAATATGAAAAATGCGAAATGATAAAGTGTTTGAAAGAAGAGTGCCGAGTCATGCCACATGGCTTTGTAATTTCAAAAATCAATGCCTTGTACAGTCAGTTCGATTCAAGGCTGACCTTAGGTCAGCTTTTTGCTTTTGGTTAGATGCTTTCAGTTAATTCCCTATGTAAGTTTCTTGGAACCTCTTTAAAATTTATAAAAAGTTCTTGACACTGTGGGGACCTACCCCAAAGTTTTTGCCGTAAAAAAAATTAAAGTGCGAGATTGAATCCCCAAATTAAAGTGCAAAATTAAATTGTCTTTTCTGTCTGCATGTCCATTTGGTGATGCTTACAGCATGTCTTTTCCTGTATGAGTAGGCTAGAAATCCCCAAATCTTGTGAGATTGAATGTACGTTTATTTGAGGAAGTTTCTGATATGTGTTAGATCAGCTTGTATCAAGTTGAAAATTTTTACAGATTTGCAAATAACTGAAAGGAATTCCAGCTGTGTAATGAATTTGCACTGTTATTTTTTTTTCTTTCTATTTTACAGATCTGCTCTACCTACAGATCCGCTCTACCCTGTTTGTTGTATTCTTAAATTACTGAACCAACTACTAAATGGCTATAGGAAATCATGCAGTGAACTACTGAACCCTGTTTGAATTGTGGCTAGCATCAGGGTGGATGATTAATTGAGAAATAGTGTTGGTAGGCTGCCACATCCATTTGAGCTGAATCTTTATGCAGAGTGGTGCATAAAAATCCATTTGTGCTTGCCTGTAAGAGATGTATACATGTTGTCACATCCTTATGTTTTTAATCAATTTAACCAGCTTATGTTACTTAGCTACCAGGATCTGTTTAATGAATTGCAGTAGCGCAATCATGTTTTTGGGTACCGAGTAGTTCTATGTTTGAGAGGATGGTCTACAACTCTGCATGAAGCCATTTTTGTAGCGAGAAGTGCAATGTTAGCATAAAACAGTTAATCTTATTTCATTACTTGGGTCAATGCTTACTGACATGTCCTATTTCACTACATTTGTGCAGGACAATAGTTACCTGGCATGTGTGAGTTGTTTGGTGTGAATTTGATGCTTCTGTGCACCTGTGAGTACATTTGTGCAGGACAATAGTTGGTCATGAGTCATCTCCAGTTAATCTCAGTTATGTTTAATTAATCTCAGTTCTGAACCTGACACAGTTGTATATGAACCTGAGACTATTGTAGAACCTGAGACTATGATCCTTATCTGAAACTTTGCAGTGACATGTTCTGTCTGTTCATTTTGGTCCTTGTCTGTGTGACTGTGTGCATATTCCATCTCTGTCCATTTTCTGCATGCAGTGTGAATCTGCAGAGGTGCTGCTTGTGATCTCACACGTTTGAATGCTTAGTGTGTGAACCTGATGCTTGTGTGAAAGCTTCGTTGACATGTGAAGCCTTGCTTTGACCTTATGTATATATAGGAGATCGAGTACATCTGTTCTGGTATAATTTCATTCAGATATAATTTTAATCGGCCACATAGTTTATATGACATATTGGATCACGACATCTTGCATAGATTAACTGCTTCAGCTTATCTGGGAAACAGTGAAATGAAATCTCCAACCGAGAGAGTCAGTTTCGTTTGCCTTGAAAACAGTGAAATGAAATCTACAACTGAGAGAGTCAGTTTCATTAAATTAAAATGTTATCACGTGCGTATGGGCGCACGCAAATTACTAGTCCATAGTTGATACTCTCCTTGTGTTGTTTAACAATAAACATACTCCCTCCTGTTTCCTAAAAGATGTCGTTTTGGACAACGACACGGTCTCTAAAGCATAACTTTGACTTCTTATTTTTATAAAAATATTTATTGAAAAGTGATATATGTATATTTTTTCTGAAAGTATATTTCAAGACAAATCTATTCATATGGTTTTCACATTTTTAAACTTAACAAGATGTACTATCAGGATGCGTTCAGTTTGTTTATTGGCTATGTATAGCTGTCGCATGTCACGATCTCTTCAAGTTTTTGTCATCACTACTATCAGGATGCGTTGCTGAAAATGTCGAAACATGTACGTTTTCCTTCCGGTTCTTTTCATCATGCTTGACAATTTTCTCTTGTTTTGCTCACAACAGCTATGGTACAGCAGGGCATATATATGCAAAAAGAAACAATAACCTGGTGATTGGTACTCAACAGTAATTATAAATCTGAATCCACCAAAGAAAAGAAAATTGCCGGTGCCATGGCAGATACTCCTACGCCATGATCATCCACCAGATGACACTGAAGCCTACCAAGGACGAAGCGCCAGTCATGCTCAGGCGACGCGCCACGCTGCCTCCGTTGGCTGTTGGTTTGGTCACTGAGCAAGTGAACAGCAGCACAAAATTCAGGTAAGACTGGAATAGCCAAATTCAGGTACGATTGGACTAATATCTTTGTATTCTTTTTTTTTATCAGAAAAGAGAAGATTGGAGTAAGAAAAAAAAATCTATGCTGTGAAGAAACTGTAATCTATCGTTAATGTCATTTGAATCAAGCATTGAACCTCTCTTTAGGTAACTGTGTGTAGTAGTAGCAGTTAGCTGTGAAGTGACAGCAGTACCTGAAGAAGAAGGAGCGCTGCCAGTGGAAGCTGAAGATGCAGCAGTACTGCCGCTAGTGGCTGCGCCTGCTAGAAAAATGAGATCGACGTCATTCAGGTTCAGCACCATCACAGTGTACAACTATAAGTAATTATGCATTAATTAACTAGTGACACGAACTTAATTATGTATTAATTAACTATTGACACGAACTTATCATCTGAGATGTGATTAGATGAGCTGCAGAGATCTATCACACGATGACAGGTTATGATTTTGCTAGTAACAGCCCTTCGCTTGGAGGAATTTGTGAGAGGAAATCAGCAGTAAACCGTAAAATTCAGCCATAAACAGTACTTCCTCCGTACCAGCCGAACGAGGCCAATGAGATCCGAATCTCTCCACATCGAGTTTTGTTTTGTACTTACAAAGATTACTTACCGTAATGTACTTGTGGGAAAGGTACCCATTCAATCATATGATGCTCTAGCTAGTAGCAGCAGTAGTAGTAGAAAGGAACACGACTGACGACGACACGCGATCTAGCTAGCTTACCTCCGGCGGCGCAGGCAGAGGCGTCGGTGGTGACGTTGCATCGCCTGGCGAGGATCAGGCCCTGCTCGGGCGCCACGCCGAACGCTTGCAGTGCGGCCCTGTTGAGCAGCATGGCGCACAGGCACGCCGTCTCGTTGGCCGCCGCCTCCCTGAGCGGGCCGCAGCAGGCTGCTGCGGGCGCCGCCGTGGACGTGGAGTTGAGGTACCCCGCGCACGGCACCAGCTTCGCCGCGCACGACGGCACCGCCCCGGAGCCGGAGCCGGACGTCCCCTGCGCGTACGCGGATGGAGCCAGCGCTAGGCAGGCCACGGCCACGGCCGCGGCGGCGGCCAGGAGACGGGCGGTGCTCTGCTGCATTGTGTGCTCTGTGCAGCTAGGCGAGTGACACTGAGGGAGTGATCGGTGCTGCGGGCGGGGTGCGCGAGATGCGGGTGGGAGTTTATGGCGGTGCGGTCGGCTGTGGCCTCGGGTCCGCCGGCCGGTTGGTGGCGTGCCAGCGAGGCGGCGGGGATGCGACGACGGGCGGGTGGTTGGCGGGACGCCCGTGGGCCGGAATCTTGCGCTGTCTGTCCGGGGCTGCGGCCGGCCGCCCGCATGGCTGGCCTGGCGCACGCACGCTCCCGCCCCCCGCTCCAGTGAGTGGTTGGATGCGGTGGGCCGCGAGCAGAACGTAATCCAGCCGTCCAGTGCCAAGCGTGTCGCGGCACGTCGACAGCCAAGGCGTGAACTCACGTGGAAGACTCGTGTGATGCCGCGCTGCGTATGTACGTTCATGTGCCAACTGAGACAAGCACGTTACACTTACAACGGCACTATCTGCTCTTCGTATTCCCTTGGGTCCGTTTTTTTCCCCTTGTCTAAATCACAGACACATGTCGTCACACATACACGCAAACACAATCATTCATTCACCGCACCCAATCATACCTCTGTGTATGGGCACATAAAGCCTGAATGGACCAACACGTTAAGGGCCTTTTTGGAACGTGGCATATCTCTTTTTTTTAATCAGAAACGTGGCATATCTAAAACACATGAATAGGAATTGCAAGTTATTTGCAGTCCTATAGGAAATGGAAATACAAGAAAGTCCTAGATACGCAACAGATATATATATAGGAATTAGAAAGACAGATCGACACAAAGGAAAGTTTCCAAGAGGTTAGACCTGATAGTAGATTTTCCCCTAAAATTTCCACAGTTTTTTTTTATAGATTTGTACCAAAGGACCACATAAGAAAAAATTCTATAAACTTGCAACAATCCTTTTATGTTCCAAAGAGGTCCAAAATGACGCCATTCATGAACTCGCATATAAATCTAGAAAAAATACTGCATGGAACATAAGACAATTACCAACAAAGCATGATGAGTTATAAAATTGACAAAGAAGTTCCCTGGCATCATAACGGGCTCCATTGTTACCTTTGGGTTTGGGCTATGACAATAGGACGGACCGTCCGGGAATGGGAAGGAGATCCACGATTGACCTTGATCGGAGGCGGCCCGGCCGGCATATCCGTCCGGACGGCCTGTCGGCCATTCACACACACATGGCTCGAGCATGCAGTTAACATGATAGTATTGCAGGTATCACTGTTACGAATAATTGTGGGTTTATGACTCGCTACGTACACACGTGCCTCCTCGTGCTACATACGAGCCTTCTGCTATCGGAGTCTTTGTGGTTTGCCCATAAAGACTACCCTGCAGATATGATTTCCTCAAAAACAAAAAAGAGAAAAGAAAGAAAAAGATAGGCAGATAGACGTTAACGTATACGATGATAGATGTCCATCGATCTCCCATTAAGATAATGGCTGGCTTGAGGGAGGTGGCCTACCCCAAATTCCACAAGCAGCGGCCAGCAGCTAGGAGCAGTGTTCGTTGAAGCAAGCAATGAAGCATCGCACCAACCAGCAGTAGTAGTGTACGTACGGACGCGGGACGCACTACCCTGCTAGCATAGACTAACACCATGCATTCACCATCACGTGCGTGTCTATTCTTCAGCAAATTAACGCGAGACCCCCGTTCAGACCCAACCACAAATGTAGGGGCATGCAATGGGTTGAAGTTGAACTGAAGGGGACACTTCCGGTTTTCTGTTCTCATCAGCGTTCAGCAATTCAGCATACAGAAGAGAGAGGCCCGCCCGGCCCCAACGTAACACTCGCTTTCTCTGTACTGTACTCTCTCTCTTAGAGCGTGTTTGGAGCGTTGGCCCGTCGGCCTGGCTGCGCCCCCCGCTTGCTGCAGTGCGCATGTTTGATGTCCATGGGCCATCTCCCAGCCTGGCTCCCCGGATGTATTTCGGTCCCTTTGGCTTGGCTCCAGGGAAACGCTCCCCCCCCTTTGTTTTTCTAGGGCATGGCCGCGCGCGGCTCCTCTCGGGCGATTTGGGGGTGATTCCTCGCGGCGGCGGCTGGCTCGCGCGGGCTCGCACGGGAAGTGTGAAACCTCCGAGCGCGCTTCCGCTACCGGTGAAATCTGCCGCCTTTATAAGCGGCCCCTCCCTCCTTTGCGCTATCCTCCTTCGTCTCCATTGCTTCTCCACCAAATCCCGTGAGAGACCGGCGGTGTGTTGAGGTGTGGTGTCCGGCGAGGCAGTGTTCTTCCCCGGCGGGCTTCCTCTCCGTTCCCCCGGCCCGGATATGGTCGGACGCGGCGCCGCACCTTGCTCCTAGCTAGGACTCCGGGAGGCAGTCGTCTTCTTCCTTCATCTTCCTCGGTTCCGGTAGTGCGCGTGGTGGTGCTGTGTACCGGATCTGTTCCTCTCCGTCGGGATCTGCTTCTTCTTCGCCGTCTCGTCTTCTTCTTCTCCGTTGTTTGCTTCGTGTTTGCTCCGTCGACCACCCTGAGGTGAAATCCACCCCCAATGGACCTACTCTTTGATTTGGATGATGCTAGGGTTTCGTTGTATTTGTACAAGGTGCTATCTTTGCGGCTTATCTGAGCTTTTGGTGCCGGTTGCTTTATTATGCGATGTTGGATTTAGGGTTTGCCTAGAACTGTTGATATTGTTCTTACTTCATTATGGTTTCATGTTGTTTGTTTACCTGTTATTATGGTCGATGATGATGTTCATTACACTAGGAGGCATGTTCTATCATGCAACCGTGCCTACTTTTGTTGTTGAATGATTACACATCCATGTTGAGGCTAGCCAAGGTCAATTGAACCGTGTTTGTCTTGAATGTTCATGCATGTAGATGGATCCGGCCCAAAACCGTGAACTGATGGCCAATCAAGCTGCTGCCTTGGTAGTTGTTATGGTGTCTTATGTTATCACTAGGCTTAGGAGGTCTAGGCCTAAACCAGACCCACTGTTGTATCATCTTAGGAGTGATGCTGAGCAGCATAGGAAGCAGACCATGTAAGCTATTTACAACTCCACAGATTCAGAGTGTCTGTCCATGTTAAGGATGATCAGAGCTCCTTTTTATACTTTGTGTAACATGTTTAGAAATAGGGGGCTTGTACCAGAAAAGGTTGGATGCACAGTTGAGGAGCAGGTTGCTATGTTCGTCTATGTAGTTGGACACAACCAAAGATTTAGGGTGATTCACCAATCCTTTAGGAGGTCAATTGAGACTGTCCATAGGTGAAAGCTCTAGTTTGGTTTTAGTGAATTGATGAAACCCTTAGTGCTAACCTAGTTTATCAAAGTGATCATGAGATATGTAGCACATTCTAAGTGGTGAAACAAATGAAGATCATGACATGATGATGATGGTGATGGCATGGTGATGATCAAATGCTTGAACTTGAAAAAGAAGAAAGAGAAAAACAAAAGGCTCAAGGCAAAGGTATAAATAGTAGAAGCCATTTTAAGTGATCGAGACACTTAGCGAGTGTGATCACATTTAGGTTCGATAGTCGTACTATTAAGAGGGGTGAAATTCGTATCGAAATGCGGTTATCAAAGTGCCACTAGATGCTCTAACTCATTGCATATGCATTTAGGATCTAGTGGAGTGCTAACACCCTTTAAAACATTTGTGAAAAAATACACTTGGTGGTTGGCATATTTGAGCAAGGGTTAGAAACTTCACCGGCGCTCTTTACAGAAAAGACGGAGGTCACTGTAAGTGACCGAACGCTGGCCTCGGTTGGACCGGCGCGTTCGGTCAATAGAAGCTACAAAGATGCTGGCGTCGGTCTCTGACCGGACGCTGGGTCACTTAGTGACCGAACGCTGGAGGGGTGCATCCGGTCCTGCTAATGTGGCAGCGCATAGGGGAGATGTCGTGTGACTAGACGCTGGGTGTGTCCGGTCGAGCTTGACCAGACGCGTCCGGTCGTGATTTCTCGCTTCTGGATGCTTACTGGAAACGACCGGACGCTGAGGTCCAGCGTCCGGTCACTTCACAGCAGCGCGTCCGGTCATCACTTAACCGTTGGGATCGGGCGCTCAGTATTTGAAGAGAGGGGACACGTGGCGTGCATCGCGCGACCAGACGCTGAGGTCCAACGTTCGGTCAATCTGACCGGAGCATCCGGTCGGCCCATGTTCAGTGCAGTGAGGAGCCCAACGGCTCTATTTCGTGGGGGCTTCTATTTAAGCCCCATGGCTGGCTTAAGATCACTCTCTTGGCCATTTGCATTGACATAGCAACCTTGTGAGCTTAGCTAAAGCCCTCCCACTTATCTCCATCATTGATCCATCATCATTGTGAGATTGGGAGAGAATCCAAGTGCATTGTTTGAGTGATTGCATCTAGAGGCACTTGGTATTTATGTTTCGCTGCGGGATTCACTTGTTTCTCTTCTTAGTTGCCACCACCTAGACGGCTTGGAGCAGCGAAGGAAGATTGGCACGAGTTGGTGATTGTTCGTGGCCATCTCCGGTGATTGTGAGGGGATTTATACCTTCCCCGGCGGAGTGCCGAAAGGTAACTCTAGTGGATTGCTCATGTTATTGAGTTACCTCACTTGTGGGTAGGTTCTTGCGGTGTCCAATTGTGTGGATAAGGTTCGTGCAACACCTCTTAGCCGCCGAACCACCAAGTGTTGGTCGACACAACGGGGACGTAGCGTGTTGGCAAGCACGTAAACCTCGAGAGAAATTTGGTTGTCTCTTGCCCTTTGGTATTCTCCCGGTGATTGATAAAGTATTCATCTTGTGATTGGTTCACTCCTCTACGCGGCGGTATAATCACCTCACTTACTCATTTACATTTCCGCAAACTAGCTATAACAAGCTCTTTAGTGTAGCTAGAATTGAGAGCTTGCTTTGTGGATTAAGTTCATCTAGTGGAGTTCTTTAGTGTAGCAATTATGAGAGCTCTTAGTGAGTAGTGACCTAGTAAATTATGTGCCTAGTGATCATAACAACTAGAATTATTGGATAGGTG